AGTGGCCTGTTCTGCTGCTTTCCCTGCCAATGATGAAGGGTCACACAAGGGTTTCCGTGGGGATCCGAGGAGGCACATTCCCTTCCACTTGCTGGTGGGGGAACAGAACCGAGGGCTGAGCACAGAGGCAGAGGCAAGGAACAAGGCACTCACCCAGGGCTGGGCCGGGGGAAACAGCTGGACCTGGGGGATGCTTAGGAGTTGGTGGGGCATGCTGGGCCAGCTGCTGGTGACTTCAGCCACTGCCCAAGGCCAGCTGACCTTTGCTGTCCTTTCTGCAGGTGGCCGAGTCCTAGGCAGCCCCCGATATGAGAAATGTCCTCTGTGCCTCCCCCAGCTTGTTGCCTGCCAAGAATACCAGGCAGGAGAGTCTTCCAAGGACCCAGGACCAAGCTGGCCATGGGGGGTATACCTGTCATTGGCACTTGGGAGGTCGAGGCCGGGGGCAAGCTTCCCCAGTGCTGGGATGACAGGATTTCCTCACCAGCCTTGTTACCTAGGAGCATTTTTAACAGGCAACTGGAACCCAGTAGACAGCATAAAGAGCGCCAGTTCCACCACCTCCCTTCACCTCAGGAACCCCTGTGGTTCACAGGGGGAACAGCTTGTGCTCTGCGGGTGTGGGTGAGGCACCAGGGCGGCCCAGCAGCAAGGTGGAGCTGGCCAGGGCAGGGATGCCCGCAGAAGTGACCCACCACAGAGCCCCCTGTGCCTCTGCTGAGCTCCTCAGGATGTGGGGCAGGAGCTCAGGAATTTCCATCTCCCTCCCCCTCCCCTGCCTGCCACAGAAGAGGCTTGGCAGATTAGGGCTGGGTTCCTACCCAGTGAGGCAGGCTAGAAGAAGACAGGAAAAGAAAAATGAAAAAACCCCAACAGTAACCACAACAAAAATGCTTCAGAACCAGATGTGGTTCGTGCCTGTAATCTCAGCCCTATGGAGGAGGGGACAGGAAGATCTCGGTCAGTTCAGGACCAGTCTGAGCTACAAAGTTAGCTCAGGGACAGCCTGAATCCCACAGCAAGACCCTGTCTCGGAGAGACCAAAAAAAAGCAACACCACAACCCCCCAAAAAAACCAAAACCCCAAACCTCATACAAAAAGGAACAAAGGAAAAGGTTGGCCCTGTGTCACACCCAATAACTACAGGCTCCTCCCTCAGGTAGCAGAACAGGCAGCAAGTCCCAGTCTGCCCCTGCCCCTGGCAGGGAAGGGGCCATCTCCAGCCACCAGGGAGGCAGATGAGGCCCAAGTGAGGGACTTGTACCCCTTGCTTAGTGAGGGCCCAGGTGGTCACATCCTGGAAGCCCTCTCCTGTGTGGAGCTAGGGACCCCTCCCAAGACTGCTGGCTGCTCCCACTTACAGCCAAGGCCGCTGTAGCCATGGTGGAGCTGAGCTCTTAGGAGTATCATCCTAGCACTCTGGGTGGCTGAGGCAGGAGTATCTCAAGTAACAGCCCAGCCTGACAGTTATGCAGTTTAACAAGACCCTGTCTCTTGGACTGGGGAGATAGCTCTGTGGTCCAAGTGCCTGCCTGGCAAGCACTAGGACCTGGGTTTGATCCCCGGTACCACATGTTGTGCTGACCCCAGAATTCTGGGTGCCTGTGCTGGCCACTGAAACGGGGTGCGGTGGTACATGCCTGTAATCCCAGCACTGGGAAGGCTGAGATAGGATTACTATGAGTCCAAGCTGCATAGTGAGACCCTGTACCAATAAATAAATAGTTAAAAAAAAAGCCAAGACTGTCTCAAAATAAAAAATAAATGCCAGGGATGTAGCTTAGTGCAAAAGCCTTGAGTTCAGTTCCCAGTAATGCAAAGCAATAGGGGATAACAGTAGGAATCCTGTGGCAGTAAGCTCAAGAGACTGAACTTCCAGGGAGCTGGCTCTGCTATTGCCCCTTGTGGGGATTTGGGCACATCTCTTAGCCAGTGGGTGCTGGGTGCCCTTGCAGGTTGGGCTGCAGGGCTGTGAGTCCGGGTGGTGCAGGAGTGACAGAGGAAATGGTAGCTCTGCAAAGCTTAGCCCTCCCCACTCCCCCCAGGAAACAGCAGGGGAAGAGGGGAGGGCAAGCTCCAGGCTCCACAAGGGCCAGCCAGGAGGCACATGGTGGGGCTGGGAAGGGGAGGGAAGCAGGGAGGAGCTGGGCTGAAGGCTCAGTCAAAGACAGACTATCTTATCTGCCCCTGCAGAATCACAAAGGCTCTCCTATCCTGTTTTGAAAGGTCGTGCTTCAAGCTTCATGGGCAGGGCTCAGGACAAGCTTCCTGTACTACGGGGGACTAAAGCCAGGGCTTTTCCGCTGAGCCACCCCCACCGCATTACCATGCTTTTAGTTTGAAGTCAGGGTCTCTGATTGCTAGCTTGCCCAGCCTTCCGCCTCAGCCTCTCACAGTGCTGGGATTGCAGATGTACATCACCGTGCCCAGCTGCTCTTAACATTTTTTGTCTTTTTAAGACAGGGTCTCCCTATGCAGTTCAGGCTGGCCTTTGAGCTCACTTTGTCACCCAGGCTGGTCTCCAACTTGCACCGATCCTCCTGCCTCAGCCTCCCGAGTGCTGGGATCACAGGCATAGGCATTGCGCCCGACTTCATCTCATCTCTGTGAGGCTTGAAGCCATGGGCCACAGGCTCTCCTAGGGCGTTGGCCAAGGGCTCAGGCTATGCGGGTCCTCTGCACAGAGGCTCCAGGGACACTGTGATGCTCGGGGCCATCAGCAACCTGGGAGGGGTGGCAATGCCTTTCAGAAAACCTTGAGAGCCGCCTGAATTCCGGGCGCTCAGCGATGTAGCTCTGTGCTGTGTCTGACAACGCCCCGCCTCCCGTTGAAGCCTCAGGCAGAGCCAGCTGTCAAGAGGAGGAGCTGCAGCTGGAGCCGAGATGGAGCCCAACATGCTTCCTTGGTACAGGAGGATGCCCCTGCGGATCCACAGTATGTCACCTGAAGGGGACAGTATGGGCGGGCAACTCCAGGTTGCACTGTGGCTTATGAAGGCCTAGTGACCTTGAGGGACTCAGGAAAAGGGAGTAAAGTTTGCAGTGGAAACTGCTGTCCTTTGGCCTTGGCGACATAGGGGCAGGGACAGCACATGGTGGGCTGGAGCTGTGCAGTCCTGGACGTTGGTGGATGGGCTGCTTGGAGCCAGGGCCCTTGTCTACCTTGAACTTGCTGAAGGATGGGTAGTAGGCTGGTGATCCCCAGGTGAGAGGTGACTGGCATGGAGGGACAGCCCGGCGTGGGAGGTGGTGAGCTCCCTGTCAAGGAGCTGTGTAAGTAGTAGGCAGGTAACTGCTCAGCCGCTCCTAGTGGGGTCACAGGCCGGGTGGGCTGGGACACTCAGCCCTCGGCCGATGAGTCTGGGCATCTGGACGGCTGGCTCAGCGCCTGAATGGGTCCCTCTTGGAAGCCTCAGCAGAACTGTGGGCAGGAGCTGGTGCTCGGGCAGCAGCGCTGTGAGTAGCTAGGTCTCTTGCACAGGAACAAAACCTCAGATTTAGGCTGTCTTGTCCTCTACACTATTTCCTCCAAATCTCAACCTTTAATATCATCTTTTTTGAGACAGGTTCTCCCTATGTAGTCCAGTCTGGTCTTGAACTCACTGTGCAGCCAGGCTGGCCTGGAATTTGTGGTGATTCTCCTGCCTCAGCCTCTCCAGTGCTGTGATGACAGGCCTGCGCTACTGTGTCCTGCCACGTGTCTCCTTTTTCTTCCATCCTGTCCAGGAAGTTCCTGGTACCCTAATTAGCCAAGGCCCCTGAGATAGTTTTCAAACCAACAAAACTGATGCTGGTATTTGCGGCATGACACCTCATTCTAAAGCAGGGCCCTTAGTTGTTGCCCCTTCCTCTTCTCAAATTCCAGCCACACGTGCTTGTCACTTGGACCTGGCACCCCAAATCCCCATGAATTTCCATACCTTCACCATCCGGGTGACTGTACCCCCACACTTTGACAAACCCCGCTCAGGACCTCTCCACTAGCCTGGCTAAGTGCACAGCTCCTTGGAGCCCTTTCTTTCTTTCTTTCTTTCTTTCTTTCTTTCTTTCTTTCTTTCTTTCTTTCTTTCTTTCTTTCTTTCTTTCTTTCTTTCTTTCTTTCTTTCTTTCTTTCTTTCTTTCTTTCTTTCTTTCTTTCTTTCGTACCTGGGATTGAACTCCGGACATTGCTCATGCCAGACAGTGGAACCCATTCATTCTTTGCACTTAAGGACGTTTATCCCTCCCGGAGTCAAGTGTTGAGGGGAAAGGGGCGCATGGACACCCATAGTCGCTGCCTGCACAGCCACACTCATCACAGGTGTTCTCTTCCTTTGCAGCCTGCCCACCGGTGGTTCGCTACCCGCAGTAGCTGTGGCAGGTCCCCGTCGCGCGGGCTGACAGCGGAGCCAAGCTGGAGCCACCTGGTGTGCCGGGCTCTCCACTGGGCATCTGGTGGAGGTGGGGAGCGCGGGACCTGCGATCGGCCCTGGGGACTGCAGGGCCAGGGGCGCCAACTGCGGGCCAGGGGCCAGGGGCCAGGGGGCAGGGGCTGGGGGCGCGCGGGGCCGAGGCGCAGAGGGAGCAGAGCGCAGCGCAGGCGGCCTGACCCCGCCTATGCGCGCCAGAGGCCGAGGCCTATGGGAGTCGCCAGGCCACGTTCGGAGTCTTGTGAGAGCGGGGTCAGCTCGGGGAGGGCCGGGCCACGGCGGGCGGGCCGCGACATTGTCGTTCTACCCTTGCCTCCGCCGCTGGCGCCCGCGGGTCATTCTGTTTGAATGAATGAGCCCAGAGGCCGCACCCAATGGGCACCCGCGCCTGCTTAATATGCATGAGGCCCACAGCCAATGGCTGGGCGAGGAGGCTGTTTTAAACGGCGGTGCCCGCTGGCCAATCAGGCGGCTCTCGTAGAGGCAGCTAGCGCGAGGCTGGGAGCCTGAGCTTCGCGTCGTGCCCTGCGCTGCCCAGACTCGCGAACAATACAGGTACGATCCGCAGCACCCGCCGCAGCGCCCGCTCAACTTTCCGGCCCGCGCCGCGCCCGCCCCTCGCCTGTCGCCCACCGGTTGGCCGTGAACGGGAAAGAGATCCAGGTGTTGCAACTTTTCGGAGGCTCTCGCCCGCGCTCCCGGGTCCCGGGCTCGGCTGGCTCCGCGGAGCCGCTCTCGCCGGTCGCCCCCTGGGACAGCGGCCGAGGGCCCGAGGCCTCCCCACCCCCGGCCAGCTGTGCGGCAGCTGCGGCGGCCGGGCCGGGGCGATCAGGGGCGGCGGCTGGCGGAGTGCGGCGCTGCACCTGGCTGCGGGGACTCTGCGGGGGGCGGCGGCTGGTGCGCGCCCGGGGCCGCTGCGTCCGCAAACTTCGCTGCCGGGGCGCAGACTGCGCCGCGGTCTCGCAGAACATGGCTTTCGCGGGCGCGGGGACTCGGGGGTTGCGGCCACGCTGTCTTTGCAGTCCCCGCTGCCCGCCCGGTCCCCGATCGCCACCGCCGCGGTCGACGCCAACATGGCTGGTGCGGTGCAGGCTCGGCGGGGCGGGCGGGCGCTGGCTGCGGGGTCTGGCGTCGTCGTCGGTGGGCTCAGAGTCCCGGGCCCTGGACGGGTGGCACGCAGGGCCAGGAGCGCCGCCGCGGGCTCCGGCGCGGCCGCGCGTCATGGCTGCGC